AAAGGAAGGAACTGCAATGAGCCCGATCCCACTCTTACAGCCACCATGGACTATATTACAGGAAGGCTAGGAACACAGAAGCGCGCTCTGTAGCTTAAAAAAAGCAAGATCTCAGATCTGATGAACAAAATTTCCAAAATGCTCGCCTGTGGAGCCTCATCTATGGCTTTCTCCACAATTTCTCGAGCAGGCCACCAAACATTAGCCAAATATGAGACGTTGGCTTCGAATTCGCCTGAAACCGGAATCCATAAAGAAAGTTTTTGAAAACATTGACGTATGACAATTACCTCCGATTAGTTCCATTGCTTGCAGAAACCGTTCATCAGGATTGACGTCCACTTCATTCCAGTGCGGATTTAGGTGGCCTACCCCGCCCGGAATATAGCCGCCACTTGTTTGGTATCGCTATAACCATTTATTACACAAAGTTCTTCAGAAAGGCGTAATATGGAATCTAGTTGCCGTGCACTGTGATCTATGGTCTCTGGTTCCGGAACTCGTTCTCAATAACTACTTCTATTTCTTTTAAACAGTCGTATTCAGGATGTCTCTACCCAAAGCTTGGCGGGGGTTGAGAGATGCGGAACTCTCAGATGTCAGCGGGATTCCTGGATGTGTCTTCGTTCACACTACCGGTTAGTTTCCGAACCTTCCCAATATTTCTGTTTGCTGACTACCAAATTCACCGTATTTTTGCTTCTTGTTCAGGGTTCATCGGAGGCAACGAGACACTGGAAGGCGCTTTGGCAATGGCTAGAAATGCTCTTGAGATTGGCGATGCTGAGGTAAGAAAAGTTCCTAATGAAACGTGTATTTTATGATTTTGTTAGAGTCGCGCAAGATAAAAAAAATCACTTATGTAAAGTCTTTTCGGATTATATACGATCTACAGAATTATGCAGTTTAGTTGTAATTGCAGAATATCTTTTCATATACCTTACCGTGATCGGGGGTGGTGTAGTGACAAGTGGCGCGCTTACCACTCGCGCGGCGCCGGGTTCAAATCCCGGGTCGACTCCCGCCCAGGCCAACCAAGCCTTCTACCCTCCGGGACGGTAAATTGGTACCAGATTCGTCTGGGAGGATAAAACACTGACTTGTACATCGGCTGGCCACCGCAAGTCATTGTATAGGCCACATCGCATTCAATAAGCCACTACGATTCTGAATGGAAGTAGAATGCGTGCCGCATCCCACATCTCATCACATCCCGGATTGATCAACGGCGAAGGCTATCCTTTCATCCTTTATACCCTGATCTCTACGCATCAAGTTCTAAAGAAATTTCTAACGCATAAAATACCTTGCTACTTTTTTCTTACATTTGGCTCTTTCCGCTTCATCTATACAGGGGGGGGGGGGGCAAAAAAGTCACTTCGACCGAGTCACATATCAGCAAAGTTTTCGCTGCCCAGACAGAGGACGTGGATACGAGTACCAGGGCGGAAGATACCCAAGATGTTCCTCGATAAGCAGGAGCTGGCTCTCGCCCATCACCTTCATGTACACCAAAATATGAAGTCATCTCCAGTCGCAGCCTGACTGGAGAAGGCCTTGGAATTCACGTCACCTCCAAACAGCTGCGAAACTTCT